CCCTGCTCTGACACTATCTGGATAACCATGGACAAGTTATTTGCTTTCTCTTAAACTTGGTTGCCTCATCTGCGAAATAGGGATAATAATACAAATAATAGTATCTTATCATACAATTTTTTTCTTGAAGGTCAAATGAAATAATATGTCTGAAAAATTTTACAAATTTTAAAGTGCTATGTGACTACTAGCTCATGTTACTATTCACTGGGCAAAGGCAAAAGAAGACACATCAAAGAGTTGCCTGTGATAATAACTATAGCTCATATTCGCATATGAATTTATAGTCATTAGGTTTGTTAAATATGTTATTTCACTTACTGCTAGACACCTGTGAGGAAGTAATGTTATTTTTTTTTCTGATTTTACAGATGAGAAAAATGTGGTTGAGAGAGGCTAAATAAATTGTCCAAAGCCATTTAGTTATTAAATGACAGATTCAGGGGCAGCTAGGTGGCACAGTGAATAGAGCGCTGGCCTTGAAGTCAGGAGGACCTAAGTTCAAATCCAGCCTCAGACACTTAACACTTACTAGCTGTGTGACCCTGGGCAAGACAACTAACCCCGATTACCTCACCAAAAAAAAAAAAAAGATTCAGGTATCAACGCAAAATATTAAAATAATTATTATATTAAACAACTCAATTTCAACAAATGTTTATTAAACACCATGTGCAGGTTATTGTATTGTACTTTCCAAAGAATGAAAACACACATAGTACCTTTAAGAAAATTATAAGCTAACAGGAGGGATAAGACAGAACACCAGGTATAAAGTTATAAGGTTAATGGAGAAGGTATAGTTTTCATATGAAAATTTTGAGATGGAAGTGATAATTTTTCCTTGAGAGGGTCATATGCAAAAAGACAGCCACCAAGAAATGATTTTTTTTTATCAGATCAAGCCACAAATAGTTTCCATTAAGGCTTAGAGGGGTTAGAGTCTGTTATGGTTGGGGGTATACTCAAAATAATGAAACCAAAAGGTCTTGGAATATTAGAGAATGAAAGGGTCCAGGCTTGCTGTGATATGTTCTTTCCTACTGACTAAGGGATAGGAGGGATTGCCATCCCCCTCCTGCCGTCCACCTCATATCCATAGAAGGAGTACCCACATCATTGAAATCCAATAGATAATGTGGATAGATATATAACACATATGTTCTAAAATTATACTACAGAGGTTTATTTGTATATTAATGTATATCAAACATAATTTGGAAATCCTTAAACTATTATAGAAATATATTATTGTGAGATTTGAGTGATATATTCCTATTTTCTACTCTCCAATATCTGTATATATGAATTAGATCTTTGTACTCTGAGCCAGCAAGGCTGTAGGACATGCCCTGTACCCCCAGGCCCTTTTTTCAAGGATAGAAATGTCACAGAAGCTATTTCTATTTTGAGAATTGCCTGGGACACCAAGAGATGTTCCACTCTGGCACAGTTTCCAAACCAATTTCAGCAAAAGCCCCTTTTCTTTAACCTACCTCCTTTTTTTCATCCATCAAACTAAATGAATGCAACTTACTATACATGTACCTCACAAGGGGGTTGTTAAGCTTAATTAAACAACTGTCCATAAAAGCAAAATGTTTCCAAAATGTTTCACAAGCATTTATTTAATGGAATTAATTTAGTCTTATTTATGTCTAGGACCACACACACACACACACACACACATACACACACACACACACACATGCATACACAAAGAGAGAGAGCTGTGACCATACATATAGTCATGTAATGAAGTATTATTTTCTTTTGACCTAGAAACTGGGGAACTTGCAGGCCAAGGAGAGAAAGAGGACCAGAACATTTTCACTCAGTAATGTTTGTATAGCTTCCTCATAGGAGTACAAATGAATGGGTCAGGGGAAAATAAACAAAAAAACAAAAACAAACTAGAAATCTGACCTTGGCACTTGAAAAGATGAGGCCTAAATACAACTGTATTTCTGTCTGTGTGCTATCATTATCTCTAATGAGAATAGACATTACAAGGACATTTCAAACTGTACTTTAGGCAATGAATTAGCTGGTAGATCCAGAACTAGACTGTTTTATTCAGATATAAAACACTGAGTGTTCATCTGCTCTTTTCAGCCAAGTTATACACCTGTTTCTCTCAAGATAAAATTCCACTCTAAGAATTCTTTAAGGGGCAGCTCGATGACACAGTGGATAGAGCATTAGGCCTAGAATCGGGAAGATATGTGTTCAAATGTGGCTTCAACACTAGTTGTATGACCCTGGGAAAATCAAATAATCCTGATTGCTTCAGTTCTTCATCTGTAAAATGAGCTGGAGAAGGAAATGGCAAACCACTCCAGTATCTTTGCCAAGAAAACTCCAAATGAGGTCATAAGGAGTAGGATGTGACTGAAACAATTGAGCAACAAAGAATTCTTTATGTAATTGCCATTGTTCCTTTCATAGCAAACCTTGAATGTTACATGTGTCTCTGTACATGTAGGGACACACATGACTTTAAAAAACACATCTAAATTCCAAACCAGAAAGTTTTGTGAAAGTGCCATTGTTTTTTACTGCTATATTATCTAGTGTGAAAGACTAACCAGTGATATCAGGAATCAGAAACTTTATCATTTTCGACTGACTTGACCAATAACTAATACTACTTCAATTTCTGTCACTTAGAGATTAACACTAAAAATTAATAAATATTGATGTCAATGTGGATAAGCCTACAATGAATAACAGTGCTATATCTTGGAAAAATAATTTCATCTCTCTTGGTCTCATTTTCCCATTTGCAAAATGAATGATAAGAACATAGCATTTGTATACTACATTAAGTTTTACAAAACAGTTTAAACATGTTCTCTCATTTGAACCTCAAAACAATCTTATGGCATAGCTGTTAATATTATCCCAATTTTTACAGATAAGGAAACAGACTGAGAGAAGTTATGAGAAGTTATATTGCCTAGAGAGTTAAATAGCTAGGAAGTCTCTGAGGCAAGATTTGAATTCAGGTTTTCTTGCTGTAATATTGACCACTTTACTCACAGACTCACCCAGCTACCCCAATGTCTATTGAATGGGATGATGTCCACATTCCTTATGTTTCTAAAATTTATTTCCATTACTCTTTTTGTTCTTTTTCTTCTGGTTTTCCCCTCACCTGGGCCAAAGGTGTTTTGGCTATTCAAGAAGTCCAAGAAAAGTCTTGATTTATATTTCACGTATACACAGCCATTAAGCATTTTAGTAGTATAATAGTTCTAGAGCTGGAAAAGTCTACCCCCCTATAGATGAAGAGACTTAGGCTGTGAGAGATGAAGTGACTAATGTCACAGAGGTAGAAAGTTGATGAACCAGGATTCAAACTCATATCCCAAGATTCCAATTCAGTGTTTTTTCTCACTAGGCCATGTTGCGTGCTTGAGTTAATAAATATTCATTTAATATATTACTATTAATATATTAATATTAATATATTAATATTCATTATAGTGAAGTACAAATAATGACAAAAATGCAATATCTATCGTTTGTTAGCTCAATTCAACAAACAATTATTAAATGCTTTCTATATTTAGATCATTGGACTAAGTGCTGTGGTAGATATAAGACAGCTAAATTTTATTATGGCTAGATTGCCAGGAAGACCTGAGTTCAAATACTGACTAAGATACCTACTATCAGTGTCACCAGTGTGACTTCACCTCTCCCATATTCAATTTCTTCAACTGTAAAAAGGTAAATAATAATAATAACAGCAACTACCTCACAGGTTTCTTGTTAGGATCATATAAGATGCTCTATATAAAAGTGCTTTTCAAAACGAGAAACTACATATGCTAGCTATTAACTATTTTCATTATTATCATTATTACTGGGGGTGAAATTCCTCAGATACAATAGGGTCCCATCATTCATGTTATTCACAGTCTAGTTTGTACAAAAGGCAGATATCCAGATAGATATAATAGACCCTTTCACATGATAAATTCAGTAGAGAGATAGAAAACAGTAACAAAAAAGTAGGTCAGTGTGAGAAGATCATTCCTAGCAAAGAATTTATGGAGAAGATGGCATTTGGTTTGGGCCTTAAAGTACATACAGAAATCCAGTAGATAGAAGGAGAGAGAAAAGATTTTCTAGACATAAGAAATAGCATGAAGAAAGTCAGACAGATAGAAGAAGGCTATGCTATAGACCAGGGGTGGGGAACCTGCCTCTTTAAGGCCACATGTGGCCTTTTGACCGAGTCCAAGTTTTACAGAACAAATCCTTTTATTAAGAGGATTTGTTCTGTGAAGTTTGGATTCGGTCAAAAGGCTGCACTTGAGAACCTAGAAGGCCACATGTGGCCTCGTGTCCCCAGGCTCCCCACCTCTGCAGACATTTCTGTATGGTAAGACATTATTTGTTTGAAGAACACCTCATGTGTATCACATACTTATAAGAACTTCTCTTTGTTTGAAGCTATTAACTCAATTTGGCTAGAGCATTGTGGTCTGCTTTCAATCTCATCTCACCTATGAAACTTCACCTAACTACTCTAGCCCGTGCTGAGTTCTATATTTCTTTAACAAACAATAGCAGTTATGCCTCAAATGGGTTAATTTCACCTTCCCAGCTATGATATAAGTGTATTTTATACTTCTTTCTTATGTTTCTCATTGACTAGCATCATTCTAGTCATGGAGTTTGTGCTCAGAAAATGTTTATTAATTGATTTAAAGAACTCAGACACCCTTCATATAAGCTGTCATTTTTCTACCTTGCTTGAACAGTATGACCTGGGAACACTATTTTATTAACGATTATAGCTCACCAGCTACTCTAGGTTTCGGACTGATGGAATAAGATTATTGCGTTAAACAAAAGAAGATTAAATGCAGATAAAGTTATTAATGTCATAGAAAGTGGCTGGACCAATCTACAATCAATGTGCACTGAAAACAAACAAATAAACAAAAAAACCCACTTCTCTCCCACTTCCTGTGTTTCCCCTTTAGCGATCTATGAGCAATCATGTGAAGCCTACCGGCACAAGGGAAACACATCTGGCTTCTTCCACATTGATTCAGATGGCAGTGGGCCCCTAGAGCCACTCTACGTTTACTGCAATATAACAGGTAAGGTTCTATCATTTTCATTCATATTTAACAGATTCTCTAAATAACATACACCAGAAAGCATTTCTTTTTGAAGCATAGAATTTTAGAAAAAAAAATTTTTAAGATTTTAAAAAAAGAGTATAACAATACTCTTAATAACAGGTTATTATTATGGAGGGAATAAAAAGAATGTGAAAATCTTGATTTATTTTCAAAAAAGGATGATTGTTAATTGTCTAGTACTACTCCTAAAACTTTTTGACCTTGTTAATTATGTTTTAGCCTAGAATTTAAAAAAAATCTATCATGTAAGTGATTAAAATCAATATTTCTTATATCTTTAGAGTGTAGAACATCATTATAACATAGACCATCATCAAATGGACTTACATATTTATCTAGTCATGTTATCAATAATAAAACATTTAACATTGTCATTATTGTGGTATCTTCTATCAGTATTATAGAAATATCATAGTGAAACTAAAAGAACATTGAATTCAGTCTGGAAACCTAATTCTGTCACAGATCACCTATATGATCAAGAGGTCATGGGAGTTTTCACTTTACAGTCTCCATATTTGACAACCCTTCCCATACTCATACCACCTGAACTGTGATTGCATAACACACACACACACACACACACACACACACACACACATACACACACACACATTACTACTACTACTACTACTACTACTACCACCACCACCACCACCCACAACCATAACAAGAAGAAGAAGAAGACTAGGCTAGGGAATCTCATTTTTTTATTGATTAGCATGAATTATAGGCAGTATGATACAGTCAATAGGAGGCTGGGTTTGAAATCAGGAAGATTTGAATTCAAATTCTACCTTTGAAACTAACTAAACATGTGAACCTGGCTAAGTCTTTTAGCTTTTAAGTAAATCAAGCAGGTCCCTTAGCCTTCTCTATTAATCAGTCAAATAAGTATGAATTAAGCATCTTCTTTGCACTAAGTGATAGGTGGGAAAGATGAACCCCACCACAATAAAATCATATTTGCCTCCACAGTGCTGGACTTCTAATTCCAAAACAACTCAGTTAATGTAAAATAAAAGCTCAATCTAATTTATCTTTTCCTTAATGAAACATCTGTTGGGTTAAAAGTAAGTTTTAAATTAAGATGCAGAAACTTAACACTGTTTTAAAAACATAAGAGCTAGTAAAAAGGTTTTAGTTTCATATTATGTGAACTTTTATGTGAACACAACTTCATGTTGTGAAGTTACCTGGTGAAATGAAAAGATAACTGGCTGTGGTATAAAAAGAAATCTGATTTTGAGATCCAGCTCCAATAAAACTTAGTACATGGGTGATTGTGACCAAATCTTTTCATCTTTTGGGGCACTAGTTAGCACATATATAAAAGACAGATGATGCTTCTCAATTTTTGTTCTGAGGCAATTGTTTTTAAACAAATGGCTGGCGGGAAATGATGTCATCATCATCATCATCATCATCATTTGTAGTGGTATTAAGTAGTAGATATGTAGTAGTAGTGGTAGTAGTGGTAGTGGTGGTAGTAGTAGCAGCAGTAGCAGCAGCAGCAGCAGTAGTAGTAGTAGTAGTAGAAGCAGCAGTAGCAGCAACAACAGTTAAGTAGTAGTAATGTGGAAAATAAAGGAAAGAGATGAAGAAGGGAAAAGAAAGAGAAGGAGGGAAGGAGAAAAGAGATAAAAAGATAAAATAACTAGAAAGAACTAGAAAGGGAGAAATAAGGAGAAGACAGTTAAAAAAGAAGAAGAGGAGAAAGGGCTCTGAAACCTCTGAACTGTTAGATTTTCTGGTCATACGTGATATTCCCTTTGGGGGGGAGTTTTATAGAATTATCCTTATTATACTTTCCATGTAACATGCTTATTAGTTGATTTCCTTAACTCTTCAATGACACTATATGGGTAAAACTTGAGAAACTGCATTTGAATGTTCTCCATGCATTAAGGAGGTGATGAGAGAAATTATGTTTGACTATAGCTATAGTAATATTTCCTAGGACACTTTTTGCTTGGATGAAGTCAAATAGGTTAAATTTATAAAATGGATGCAGGTTCCCTGTGCCATAAATGGGGTATAAACATTCTGTAGTTTTCACGAGTATAGCATTCTTTTTCTAAAGTCATCACCCACATTCATAAAAAATTTATTTTGTTCTCCTGAATGCACAAGTCCAAGGTCTTCCTTCTCTCAGAAACCTTAACACACTATGGAAGTGTTATTTCTTCTTCTTATCATCATCATTATTGCTGCTGTTATTGTCTACTGTTACTTTCGTGTCATGGGATTTACTAAGTTCATCCAAAACATAAATGCATTAAATAAAACTTTCAGCACCTAGGATGGGATTTTGTCAGCAGTAAATGCTGGTTGACCTACAATATGATATTGTCCCTTTGCATTTCCATAGCATTTCATTATTCTAAAATGCACTAGTGTCAATTAAACCTTACACCATCCCCACCATATAACTGGAAAATATATTATTATCTTCCTCTCACTGATGGGGAAGATTCGGGTTATATCAACAACTTGCCCAAGGACAGTGAAAGCATCATTAATGGTCTTGGAGATAGAAAAAAAGTAGGTTCCGTTTAAGGGAAACAGCTACTAATGAATGACAATTGGATTAATAGCAAATAAAGGACTGAGAAATCAATGACTGGGAAAAGTGAACAGGTCTGCCTTGGTGAACTTGTGGAAACTGCAGGTCATGAGGTTCAGCTACAAAGAGATAAATGCCAGAAGAAATCTCCAAATGTAATACAGTGTAGGATGTTTTACATTTTAGACAGTAAAGTCCACTACATTTAGCCACTGGACCTCTTTCAGCTCCACAGTTAGCATGTATTCTAAGCTAGTCAGGTGGAATTAGTTAAGAGCAGCCCTCTAGCATCCGGAATAAAATGGGCATGTGTCAGAAATCATGACAGATAAACTCCTGAATCTGGAAAAGCATGAACACTAGAGCTAGTGAACAGACAACACCAAAGTTTAGTTCTCATCCTAAGAGAGACACTGTATGCATTTTGCCCTATTTTGTACTGGCTCTTCTAAAGCCCTGGGATCATAGGTGGTAAACATAGAAAGAGGAAGCCTAGACACTTATAGGTAAAACTTTTTCCTGATTGGTATAAGGGCAAACAGATCACTGAGAGGCCTTAGGAGTCTTTCAGTGTGTTTTGACACATAAATACATTATAGAGGAGTCAGACTACTGTCTGACTCTATTCCTTCCTGTGCTTAGCACAGTCTAAGAGACCTGGATATGTTTTCAAATAAAATTAATAATAACTATAATATATTATTTATAATACAGTAAGTATAATTAATAACTAATGAATGATAATAATTTATAATTTAATTTTTAAAAATATACTTTATATTTGCTAAAGTCTACAAAATGATATTATTGGAACTATACATTAAGATTATATATAATAGATTATTATAGCTGAAGAGATTTTTGAGATCGTCAATCCTGTCATTTTATAAATGAATAAAATGAAACCCAGCTAAGTAAAAGGCATCCTGGCATAGTGCCTAGAACACTAGATTGGAATCAGATTACCTGGGTTCAAATACAAGTACTGCCACTTACTGCCTATATGACTTTGGTCAAATAAATTATCTTTTCTGGAGTTCAATTTTCTCACCTATGGATAGAGGGGGCAGCTAGGTGGTACCATGAATAGAGTGTTAGGCCTTGAGTCAAGAATACTTGTCTTCATGAGTTCAAATTCTGCCTCAGATGCCTAAAAGTTGGGAGACCCTGGGCAAGTCACTTAAACCTGTTTATCTCCGTTCCTCATCTGTAAAATGATCTGGAGAAGGAAATGGCAAAGCGCTCCAGTATCTCTGCCAAGAAAACGCCAAATGGTGGCATGAAGAATCAAACATGAACCACAAGAACAAAAATAGAGGGCTGTAATAGATAATCATTGTGATTCATACTAACTCTAAATCCTAGGAGCCTGTTATATGGTTTGATTCTTGTCTCTTCTATTTACTAGACTGTGATTTTTAATATCACATATGCTTTAGTTTCCCCATAAGTAAAATATGAAGCTAAAACTATGTGTTAGACACTGTGCTAAGGACAAAAGTGAAAATCCTATGACTTCATTAAGCTTATAATCTAGTCAGGGAAGATAAGTACGTATATTGGTGTATAGATGCAAAGTAAGTAGACATTATTTTGTAAGTGTCTGGGGAGGGGGTCACAAACAGCTATAAGGTTCTGGAAAGGCTTCATGTAGAAATTGACATTGAATAGTCAAATTTTGAAGGAAATTGGGGATTCTAACAGGGAAAAAATGTTTATAGGTATTGGGGAGAATCAGTACAAAAACACAGGAATGTGCCAAGTATGAGGAACAGTAAAAAGGTCAGTTTTCATTAACAGTAGTATGTATGACAGTCAGTGGTGTATAATAATTCTAGAAGGGTAGATTTTGGTCAGGTTGTGAAAGTCTTTAAATAGCAGAGAAGTTTACATAGGAGACCACTGGAATTTATTGAGGTGGGGGGAGTGATATGATCAGATTTGTGCTTTAGAAAAAAAATCACTGTCTGGAGGATAAATTGGAATAGAAACTTGGAGCTGGTAGACCAATTAGGAATCTATTTCAGTACCATCCAGCCAAGAGGTAATGAGACCTGACCTAAGGTGGTAGCTGGGTGAGTAGAAAGAAAGGGAAAACTTAGGAAGAGGTAGGTTGGAGTTCAAATGGGGAGGGATTTGAAGTCAGACTAAGGAATGTGATCCGAGAGGAATCGGGGCATCACTGATGATTTTTCAATAGGTGAGTGACATTGACACAAGCAGGTGGTGGATGGACTCAAAAAAGGGAGAGGCTGCAAACAAAAAGAGTAATGTGGAGAATATTTTAATGGTTCAAGTGAGAGGCAATGAGAGTCTCATCTAGGATATGGTTATGTACTCATACATTTTTACAAGGTACTTTGCACAGAGAAAAAGAGAAGCTTGTGAA